CCAGGGGGTAAAGGGCGGCCGGCGCGTAAGGCTGACAACCTCACCGCTATCTATGAGCCGATTGTCTAGAAAATGTGTGAACCTCAACATCTCACAACCCTACGGGCTTCCAAGGCCTGTTACAGGGATATCTTTACCTTACCTGAAACACACTGAAATTCCAAAAGCTTTCTTTGTAAATTTTTACCTTCATTGGTCCTGATATTTTTCTAGTCTGCTGCTGAAAGAGCTACTCTGCAGTTCACAAATAAACATACTACAATGCATGGTAATAAATTCTTCTCCACGGTAAAAATAATCAACAAGTTAATTAGAAGCAAAGATATTATCCTGCACAGAGGCATAACTTGTTTTTCCATTTTGGACCAAAGATAAAGTCATCTGCCTGTATTACAGATCTTAATGACATCCGTATTCCATATTGCGATCAAGTAGTTTAATAGAAATTTGACTTGAAATTAATGTAAAGACAAGACTGACATGACCTAAACTATTCTCGACAGTTTAGTGAAGACTCTCAGCATGCAATTTATCGAAGTTAGTGAAGAAGTCTAGCAGACGAAACATGAGCACTAGCGGGTCAAATAATATTGTACATAAGCCATACACTGTTGAATGATCTCTAATCTAACTTATGAGTATATCACGTGTCATTCATCGCTATATGACCTTAAGAGATCACTGAACAAAAAAGCAACATGGAAAGACTTAAATACGAAGTTGGGACCGCACTTTTGCAGCGAACCGAGCCTGAACTTAACCGATTTCCATGCATGTTACATAGCCTACACTTCGTCCGTCCCAATATAATGCAGCTTCAATGCTTAAATCGAAATTCCTTGGTTTGTTCAACAGCTTTAAAACATGGAGAGCAGTTTACATCTCTGCCGATCAGTGGCCGCGTGGTCTAAGGCATGAATTGTCTTCGCTCGCTCGAACACTGGGATCTTGTTGTTCTGTGTGTGGGTAGTGGCCTTGCGACGAGCCGATCCCCCGTCCGAGGAGTCCAACCGACTGTATATAGGATTAAGAAACCAAAAAAATAGATGGATGGATAGATAGATATATAGAGAGAGAGAGTTTACATCTCTTCTGCTTGCAGGGTGCTTCGGGTGTAGTTATATTATTTTCGGCAAATTTAATAAATGCAGGATTTTTTTTATTGCTAGTGGGGTGGGACTAAGTCCCTTTTACTGCGGCCACTTCTGGCCCATTGTACCAGCCCCAGATGATAGGTGAGGATGATTGTGGAGCAATTGGTGGAATGAAGATTAGCAGGGGAAACCGAAGTACTCGGAGAAAACCTGCTCCAGCGCCACTTTGTCCACCACAAATCCCACTTTATCACACCCGGGATCGAACCCGGGCCGCCGCGGTGGGAAGCCAGCGACTAACCGCTTGAGCTCTGTGGCGGTCAACATGAAATCCTTAAGGGTACTCATTTAGATAGCGTCATATAGATGTGTGCTAAGCTGCACCAGCCGAATGTGAATTCATCCCCAGTAAAGTAATCGTGTAAGCATCAAGATCGAATAGTATAGTACATTTGTGAGCCAGCCTGTAGTGGGCGAGAGAAGACTAAATCATTCAAGCAGACCTCGTCGTTCCACCATGTCTCACAAAGGAAGACGGTAAACCGCAAGAAAGGAGCAAAAAACAAAACAAGAATAGTCAAAAGTGGGCATCATTATGTTGTACTACACTTACCTCGGTTGAAACACCTTCTCTCTCTCTGCCTATGCCGGTAAGAAACACAATTTTCTTTCAGTTCATAGGTTTTGTTGAAGGTTATACTGAACAAGAGAAGAAAGGAGAAACAGTCTAATTAAGTTTCGATTACAGCGGTTTCCTTCAATATCGATACACGCCATTATACTACTGACTAGTAGCGGACGTGACGTTTTCAAAGGTGTTGGCTATATCCCGAGATAAAGCGAGGCCTTGAACATTTTGGAAGTTGAGGAGACATGCAAACATGCAAATTTGAGCAGAAAATTAATTACGTTAAGGAGAAAAGGAGGGCTGAAATGTAAACTAAGAAAAACTTCAGCGACTATTGACTGACGCTTTTTATTGCACCTTGTACTTCAGTATCGTGCGACGAATTGTTTCAATGAGAATATCAATCACAGAGTCACGGAAGTTGTAACTGTTTTCTGTGCCTTTCTCAGTTGTCAGTAATTATAAATTTGTGAGCCTCTCCTGAGTCTGCGTGTTGCGTAGGTTAAGTACGAACCCACTTCAGAGCAGGCAACGATCGCCCTAAAGACAAGTGGTTGCTGGAACTGTTCTGAGATTAGAATCCATCAGATATTTGTGCGGATCTGCAATATTATTTTGCAAAAGTTCTTCCGGCGAATACGTAATATTAAGTTCAATTTTCAGAGTAAGAAAGTCAAAATACAGGAAGTCTGCATTCAATAACGATTTATAATCAGCAGTCTGAAACTTCTTACATTAGTGTTATAAGTTTCGGAAGTACGGAAGTGAGATTAGCCTTGGTTTGTGAATTTCAGAGAATTGGCTGGTCAACAGCACTCTTACAGTGAGGATTATTTCAGAGTACAGCTGGGGGCAGGAAGTCTTTCGAGGCTGGGTGGCTCCAGAGTCAGTTTGCACGCTGCAGAGAAAAGAAAAGTCTCTTGCCTCTGTGGGCAATCGTATGGCTGTTCAGCCCGTAACCCGTCGCTGTACAGACTGAAGTATTCCAGTTCCCGCTAAACGTCATACATATCAGAATAGCGACGAAAATTATAAATTAAGCATGCTTAGTATAAAAATTCTGAACCATTCGCTCGAAACACGAAATGTCACTTATTGCCACAACGACTGTTTGAAACATGTTCTGTTACGACAAATATTTTGAGAGGTGCAGGAACACAAGTAGGGTTCTTTTTTGTGTGTGTGTAAAGAATCCATTATTTTTGCCCGATATTAACTATAACTTCATTGTGTCGAAGAAATTTAGTGCAACTTCAAAATATCACATTTCTTGAAAATCCGATTAGAAATTTCTCAAGTTATTTCATCGTACAGACGACGGAGGGACGGAGCGACTTTAATACTAGCCCCACAAGTTGCCATCGCGCCTAAAAACGGACAAAACATTGGACCAAGAGAAGACCAATTAGCAAACAAATATACTGTTGCTGTGCGTGGATTAATTTTGATAGATATTTAAAACGCTGCTTTAAAACCGGAACTGCACTGTAGCCTTTCTTTGAAAGGAAGACTGTCTAGTATCTAATGTTTTTAGCCTGTGTCTGGATATCTTGCGTAGATGATCTTCGGATATTTATAGACGCTTTGGTATTTTACGACAGATCTTAAATGAGATTTTGAGGAACAGTAAATGGAGACAGCGCAGAATCTGACCACGAACGTCATAATATTACATTGTAATATGGTCGCCGCCTGTCACCGTAGCCGAAAGGTCTAAGGCATGCACTGCCTTCGCTCGCTCGGTAGCTGGGATCGTGGGTTCGAATCCAACTCAGGGCATGGATAGCTAGAGTTTGTGTACAGGCAGAGGCCTTGTGATGAGCTGATCACCCGCCCAAGGAGTCCTACCGAATGTGTAAGATCTAGTAAACCGAAGTGAAACGGAGAGTTTCATGGAGGTAGACCAAGGCCCAAATTGAGGCTGTAGCGCCAAGGAAATAAAAATGGTCGCCAGAATTAATTTTACCAGTTCTTAATATGGCTGCGAAATATGGTCTTATATCTGGATTCATTAATCGATTATTCAATAACGCTTTCTCGACTGCATTGCATGAAATATCTGGTCGACTTTCAATCACGAATTGGAAATGTTATGTCTGTTATCTTCATCACAGTACAGTGTCCTGCTATTTGAGTTGAGGGACTGTGGAAGACGTAGGTAGGAGAGTTAGTCGTCGGAATGAGGTTCGAACTCGTGACCCCGAAAATATGAGGCAGGAATACTGATAATTCGACGTTCGTTTCTTATGTTGAACAAACAGCATTAAGTGTATGGCTTTGAAGATGACGTGCTTTGGAAAATGAGTGTTCTGCAAGAAATAAAGTGAAGAGGAACTTCAGAATTTATACAAGTCACTTGAGGTTGCTGGAATAGTCTATAACGAACTGGATAATGGCCAAGATTGGGGGGGGGGAGTGGATTGTGAACAGAAATTTAGAGGGAAACAACCATTTGGAAGGCTGAAAAGGAGTTTTGGATTGTGCGGAGCCTTCGATTCTGCTGTCAGATTTAGTGATCCAGATGTACAGCTTGATAATATTTGCAACGCTGTGGCAACTTGTATTTATTTATTTATTTACGGCTTATTTAATGACGCTCTCAATAACTCTTGACTGTACGGAACTGAATGGTTGGATGAGTAATGATATATTCAATTATATTACATCAGACAATAATTAAACCTTACAAAAATACAATAATTACAGCTGGCTGAGGCACTGTGCTACAAGCCGGAAGGTCACGGGATTGAATCTGGATGAGGTGGATTTTTCAATTTACCTAATCCTTCCAGCTGCACCATGGCCCTGGGGTCAACTCAGCCTCTTAACAGAAGTGAGTACCAGGAACTTTCCTGGGGAGTAAAGCGCGGCCGGCACGTAGGGCTCACAACCTTACCACCATCTATGAGCTGATTGTCTAGAAAATGTGGGAGCATCAACATCTCACAACCCTATGGGCCTCCACGGGCTGTTACAGGGATAGCTTTACCTTTTACTTTTTACCATCTAAATATGGGTATATACAAATTTGGCGAAATATGTTACTAAGGAGAAGTAATCAATTATACAGTAGGCTTATATTCTTGTATTACGTGAAATTCTAGGCTGTAAGACTGTAACCAGCAATGTTGGTAGTGTTCTACCAGTCTATATGGCGTCACATACCAGAAGACATAAATTTTCAACTTCTCCAAATACAGAGCTTGAAACTAGGATCTTGGTATGGGGTCAAAAGGTTTCTTTCTTCAATTTTAATAACTAAATTAACAGACTTTACACTACTCCTCCTTGTCTTTATTTCCAGTATTTCTTTTCAAATTTGAAACTTAAAATGTTATTAACAATCTATCTCTGTAAATAGAGCAGTAATATGTAATTCAGTTTAGATGTGAGTGTACAAAATACATTTGTAGGTTAGCAGTAATTCAACACAAGACTGTAAAAAATGGAAAATCACAATGTAGTCTCCAAATCTGGCAAGATCAGACTGGGTTACTTCCAAAGGCACAACGTGACCAGAATGTTAATAGACTTCTAGAAAGCCTAAGATTCTATTATGAGGGAAGTATTGTACAATACTCTTATTGAGTCTGGGATACCCATGAAACTAATCAGGCATACTGAAACGTGTTTAAATTAAACCATTTGTCTGATACATTTCCTATTCAAAATAGTATAAAATAAGGAGATGCTTTTAACACCATTCCTTTTCAACTCCACTTTAGAATATGCCATTAGAAAAATCAGGCAAGACTGAATTTGAATGGGACACATCAGGTTCTGATGTATGCAGATCAGGCTAATTTGCTTTGGAACAATAAATACCATGAAGAAGTTCTAATAGGAAGGAGACTGGTCTAGATATAAATATGGAGAAAAGTATAAGTCGATATCACCAGAACACAAGACAAAATCATAACATAAAAATTGCTAATATGTCCTTAAAAATCTGGCAAAATTAAGATATTTGGGAATGACAGTAACAAATCGAAATGCATATGTTTCATGAAGATGAAGCAACTTCTTGTTTACACACAATGGGATTACTTGTAAAATGTACCATACAAATTTTTTAAATACTGGAATAGGAAAAACAGTTAAGTATATATGTTCGTTAAAAACCTTTTTTATCAAAACTTGGACGGAGGGCAAATTCACCTTCTGAGTTCTGAGCAAAGGAGAAAGCACTTGGAGCCTGCAGTTATCACTATGAAAACATAAAAATTGTGCAGTAAGTTAAATTAAATTCACTATCAGTCACTATATACAGACACACCAATAAATAATTACATTATTAATACAAATAAAGTTGTAACACAGATTTTGAAGTATCTACATTACTGGAATGATCTGCCTTCTTCGCCTCGGCCACTATAATTCCATGTTACTGTACAGTCTGAGCAACATGTTGAGATCTGAAACCAAAGCACACAACATCTGTTTCACAGTTTGATCAGAACATGTATTGCTGTTCATGTCGTATTTAGTGAGAGAGAAATATTTTCAAACTTAATTGAAACTTTGCAATAGGATGTGTAAATCTCGGAATGTTTTCCCGAGCTCGCCTGGAAGCGTCTGTCTTTTCAGCACGAAGGTTCGAATAGTCATGAGGCTGTTGTAGCATTTAATGCACTTGTTGTACCTGAAAACATAACAGGAAAAGAGACTGTTAAGGAGAGGTTCTGACAGTTTTATAATGTAACCTGGACAAGACTATGCAAGTGAACACCTTCAAATCAGAAATGTTTTAAAAAGGGGTCAACAAAATTGATAATATTGTTATGTGGATGTTGATAAAAACAAGAACAAGAGGTTCTTGGAAGAACTAACTGCCTACTTTCCTTTGATAAGACATGGACCACAAAAAATCACTTGTCCAACAATTATTCTATTTATATGTGTGTATACAATGCCGGGATGGGGGGGGGGCGTTGTTTATTGAGCCACTGACCAGCAACAAGAAACACAAGCAGAGAGTAGGCTAACAACAGAGGAACTGTTGGAAGCAGTGTTTTCTCTGCAGTCCCACCCAAACTGAAATAAAGAGGGCAACTTCCAGCTTTCAGGAACTGGGAGGGCATACACAAACTGCAAGGTGGACGCACAAGCTTCCTCCTAATTTCAACATACTTCTCCAATTTTTTTTTTTAAATAATAGGCATATGACCTCATCTTGCAATCTGCGTGTCTGTCCATCCGTCTGTATCCCCTCCTAATTCTTGAGGCCTATGGGATCACCTTGATGTCTGAGTATTCCCCTCCTAAGGAAGAGATTTTCAGAAGACAGGACAGCCCATCTGGGATGGACTGCAGGAGTCTGATTCCTGGCATGGCCAAAAGATATTTCTCTTCCCCACAGCATCCAGACTCCTATAAAGTGGGTAGGGGGGGAGGGGGAGTAAAGTGACTAATGCTTGAAGCTATATCTCCACTCCCCCATGTGTCTTCATGGCATGGTGCTTAATTAACAGGGACTACTTTCTTTTTACATTTACCTTCATAATCTACTTTATAATTTTATGACATACATGACAGGGCCAGAGAACTCCTGAAGAATTTCTAATGGCTCAAGAATGAAGTCTGGTTAGTTCCTTAGGGTCTTTAAAAGGGTTGGCTTTTCTCACAGTTCCTTTTCCTTCCCGCAATGAGAAATAACCATGTGGCCACCTTCCTGTTCACAGTGCCTACTGCTCGGGATCCATCTACTTCCTCTGTACCATGAGCCTGGGTGATCGCCTTTTTTTTAATTCGCTTAGTGGGGGGTGGAATCCAGCTGTGTCAACTCGGCATGGCGGCCACTGATTGGCCTATCGTAGCCTGCCCCAGGTGATTATGATGATGGACAATCGCAGGGGAAACCGAAGTACTCTGAGAAAACCCACCCCAGCGCCACTTTGTCCACCACAAATCCCACTTGACCACACCCGGGCCGCCGCGGTGGGAAGCCAGCGACTAACCGCTTGAGCTATTGCACAGCCATGGGTGATCACGTTCCTATCAGCCTGCTTATGTAACAGAACTGATTCATCATCATACATCAACCCTGAGAGAGAGGCAGCCTGATCTCTGGACATCAGCACCTGCCTACACAATTACATACTGTCACAACCCAGAACATCACAATCCAAATAATGTTCCTTTTTTGGTAATTGTTAACAAGCCCCTTAGTAAGCTGTCTACTACTGACATTCATTATGGAATACATGAAGTTCAAATTCTCAAATGTGGCATGTTGCAAAAATCAGTTGCTTGCACTCCTACTTGCTAGTGCATGACAGAAATAGTTCTAAAATAAAAAGAAATGTATCTAACCTCTCTTCTCGTGGAATATCTACACCAATCGTCTGAATAGGGGCCTTCATATTGGTTTTAATGACTTGTGCGAAGTTCCTCAGAATCAGCATCAAAGCATTGCATCCAGCAGTCATATATCTGCAAAAAAAGAACATATAAACAAGCATTAAAAACTGTTACCATTGGTTGTTCCATCTCAGGGTTCCTAAGGACTATTTTTTAATAAGAGTAAACATGATAATTACTATGATAAACACACACAGGTAAGGTAAAGTTGTCACTGTGCTTAAACAGTTAAGCATTATGCCCTGAAGGCATCTGGGGGAGTGGAGGCACTAGATGTATGTGAGAGGTCAGTTTCATGTCCCTGCTGCTTTAAAACCAGGGTAAGTGCCCCTGGTTCTCATTGGATAGGGGGCTGAGTAGGCCCCAGAGTCGGTCTGGACGCTGTGGAGAAGAATAAAATATGGCACTGCTGGGACACGAACCCGAGTCATCCAGCCTGTAGCCTGTCACTCTACCAACTAACCTATCCTGGCTAATTATGATTTATGTGGGACATACAAGACCAAAGCTATTTCCCTATGGTCCTGGTTCATAAATATAATGATTCTACCAAATGCGAAGTAAACAACAACCTGTGAGCAGAGAGCTTGACTCATCACAGATGAATGTTCATTGCATATGAATTAAATCACATACTTTAATATACAATATACAAAACACTTGCACAATGTTTAAGCATTCAAACAAATATGATTAAGTAAGTTTTGAGGTTTTCACGGCGATGACAATGAACAAAGTCGTCTNATTAAAATTAATTTAAAATGTAGGCCTCTACAAACATAAGAATGCCAAACACAGTAAACTTCCCATTACCCAGTATATATGAGGAATTAGGTTTACTGGCTGATAACTTACAGCAACCCAGTTAAGCACAAAGACCACTGTAGGTCGCGGTGCAAGGCCTGAGAAGGCCCACCCCTTATACATTCATTCATTCATTATACATTACAGGAACCCAGTACAAAGTCTAAACAATTCTTTTCACTTTGGTTCTTCGATGGGAGTCTTCCTAGGTGACATAGCAGACTGATGGGTGAAAGATTTCAGGGACATATACTGTAATGTGATCACTAATTCAACTAGCCTTTACTGTAATGACACTTGCATGAGGATGAAAGACGACTGGTGTTTCCTGTGTTGGCTGCAAGAACTATCGAGTGGTGAGTGAACCCTGTTCTCTGAACAACTTTATTTAAATGGCAAATTTACTTTGAAAATTCTGCCAGTTGAAAGACAATTCCACATGCCTGGATACTGAAAACTCGGGAGTTTACAGTACTAACGCTCAATGACTCATCTTTCATCCAACATATTTAGCAGTTTTTTTATTGCTAGTGGGGTGAAACTAAGTCTCTTGTACTGCGGCCTCTTCTGGCCTATTGTACCAGCCCCAGATGATAGGTGAGGGTGATTGTGGAGCAATTGGTGGAATGAAGATTGACAGGGGAAACCGAAGTACTCGGAGAAAACCTGCCCCAGCGCCACTTTGTCCACCACAAATCCCACTTGACCAGACTCGGGATCGAACCCGGGCCGCCGCGGTGGGAAGCCAGCGACTAACCGCTTGAACTATGGCGCGGCCTCTATATTTAACAGTTTCTACAGCATATACTAATAAGCACTACAGTGTTTAGTTTATTTATGAAATGACGATTTATCAACTACATTGGTTATACAGCACTAAATGAGACTGTGTTTGTGAATTATGAATTGAAATGGTCACAGAAATATTTCTGTGGAGATTGAAGAGAAGTACATACGAGTATACACGTTCATAATAACAGGTCTCTGGAACGAGATCCAAACTCAAGACTCCAGAATACGAATCTGATGTTCTACCATGACGACGTTCAATTTTTGGAGTAAATGAGAAAAACGATAAACATGCAGGCTATAACAGCCATTCTCAAAGATCAGATTCGATACCGGGCCAACCCGAATACAAAACCACAGCGCAGCGAGGGGTGTCAAATTTGAACACACCGACTGCGTCCTATGCATAATCATTAACGTGCTCAGGAAAAGTACAAAGGTCTGGTCCGCATGCACTTAGTCACGGCTCTGTATGGCCCTTTGATATAGCACAGCCGCGCGCCCAATGGCGGGTTACAACTCTAACGACAAAGGAGCGAATAATTGTGGATCAAGTGTGACAGTATATGAAACTGGACCCTCGAACGTCTGTCCGTTGAAATTACTGATGCTACGAGTAATGTCTTCGGACGCCCGCTTACGACGTCATCAGCGGGAAGCGTGGAAAGGGTTACGGAATTAGCCAAGCGCTGGGAGTACAGAGCGCTCGTTCCAAATAATTGGCACGCCTTCAGATACAAAAAGCTTTTTGGAAATCGGTGCCAGCTGCAAAACAGAGTACACACTGCATCATTATGTTCGCTATACAAAAGATATACGATAACAAGTTTAGCGTCACAGTGTTGGATGCAGCACCTCACTATCAGTACTTACGAGCCGCTATTCCAAACAACTTGGAACAACAAATAATTGAACGATGCGAGTGATGCGTCCACCTCAGAAATTCGCACGATCCTTATGTTGGACTGCGATGCTCGGGAGCTTATTTATGATTTACTTAATGATGATGTCAGAGACACAGAGACAATCATGGTTTAGAAAGAATGCAGAAGAAACCTGCCATGGACTAATTTCAGGTATTATCCCGGAATTTGTCTGGAGTGACTGAGGAAACCTGCGAAGAACCCCTGTTCGGTTTCTCTTCTGGGATATGGTCCTGTTCTACCTCGACGCCGGAGGTAGAAGATTCGTTGGTGAATATACTACCATAGTCAATAAGTTCGTGGACTGGCCAAAAAACCGTCGTTGCAGTGCATTACAGCGGATAGGTTGGGGTACGATATGATGCTCTGTCAGTTCATCTCTCGTCACACCAAGAGGCAGTTGTGTGCAAAGAGAGTAAGCAGAACTACTGCCTCTATTGTGAACTGCAGTTAAATGCAAGTGGCGGAAATCGAAAATGTGGCAGTTTGAACAACGGACAAACATTAACTTCTGCAAAAACTAGGCAAATCCCGTAGCGAAACGTTTGGCGTAGCAAGAATTGGCTGTTGCTACAAGACAACGCTCCTGCACATCGCTATGTTCTTGTCCAAGAGGAACCGACATGGCAACATGTCACGGTTTTGCCACACCCTCCGTACTCACCTGATCTCGCACATTGCGATTTCTTTCTCTTTCACCGTCGTAGATTTCAGTCGTCCGAGGAGGTCGTCAATGCCAAAAGAGACGCCGTACGGGAATTTCCTGCCAATATGTTTCAGCAGTGTTTTCGGCAGCTATATCAACGTTGGCAGACTTGTATAGCGGCCAACGGTAACTATTTTGAGGGCCGATGTGGATATGTGTAAGTGTATATGAATACCTCGTAATATGATGCGATGTAACCACAGTCCATGAACTTAATGACTGTACCACGTATACCAGAAAAGACCTAATCTCAATAAAAATTCTCAGTTAGGACAGATGGTCTCCTGGCCGAGACTTGGAACACCGGATCTCTCAAATACGAATCAAACGTGTTAACCATTCAACCATGACGTTCAGTAATGCTGAGAATGAAGATGAAAAGGTCTTCAATGGCATGCTGTCCATATCGAATTTGACGAACTTACCAGTAGAACCACTTCTTGAAGGAAGGAAGGAAGGAAGGAAGAGGGGAACCAGAAAGACAGAAAATAAACAGAAAATCTGAAAAAGAAATAAACTGAATCCTAGTGCATTCTACTCCTCCTCTTTCTTTTGAAACAAATGCAACAGATGCAGCAAACAACCAACAAATTGCGTGAGTAGGGGAGTTTGCTTACAGGAGGAGGGATTATTGGTTCGAAACGTAAAAGGCGATTAATTATGTTTGTCTATACTTCCTGCATTCGTGCAGTCAAGTATATAAAAACGCAAGAACGGCATGACGACAGTTCTGATGGAGACAAACCATCGAGTAATTTCATACTTGACTATAAAGTGACCAGATGGAGACATGTGAACTCTGAAACACAGGCAGGATATTACTGTCACACTCTCGGCATAATATGAAGCTATTCCTACCGTAACAGCACGTTTATTTTCAACAACGTGGATCTGGAGACAAAACCATGGCGTGGTGTGGTGAAAATTCCTAACGGCAAGTAACTGGAAGAAGTTGTCATGGCCTAATTTACGGTACTACACCGGAATCTGCATGGAGGGACAGAGGAAGATCAAGGAACTTAATCAAAACTCGAACCAATCACCTCCTCCCGATCCTACCCCACGCTGCTGGGTGAATCTGCGCTAAGGAAACCATGATCTATATATACTGATACGAAATCTGTCCCACGCTGTTTGTTCAATTATCGCAATAGGATGTATATAGATGTAGTCATGTCTTGCGCAAGTGTAACGCCCCCCCCCCATTAAAGGCACGAAATTGCCAAACACAATGAAGAAAACCTGGCTGATGTCATAATTCTCAAAACAGTTTTATTTAGGCTTACACTGATACGTAACATGTTCAGATGACTATCCACTGATTATCAGGACATGAACAGGAATTAATTTTAATTTATGAACACTCGAAAGAGATTTATAAAACGAGTCACCCCTAAAATAATACCGCCCCAAGAGACTGCTTATTTTGTTGTAGCACAGGCCCTGAATTTTTCGAAATGCAAGGGAAATCCTGTAGCCGGAGCATGATCCTAAGCGATTAGCTTTGCAACGACAGCCAAAATGAATAAAGTCCAATTATGGATAAGCAATCGCTAAGAAACTATATGCAAAATATGTCTAGGTCAACTTTAAAATTTCCACTCATCAGTTTTGGGAAACAACTGTCAGCATCCCTTCTAATTTCATACAATTCATACAATTACAATTTATCTGTTCCTGACGCCACACGGATTTACTGACAACGTCGTTAAATAAACAACAAATATACACGCAACCATACATTAATGGTTACTGGTTATTTAACGATGCTGATTTTTAAAGGTAAAGTTATTCCTGTAAAAGTAAAGTAAAGCTATCCCTGTACCAGGCCGTGAAGGCCCATAGGGTTG